GGGATAACCCGTAGATAGGCCCCCACGGAGGTGACGCTCCTTCATGTAAATCAATGGGACAGTCATAAGGCCGATGAATAGGCAGTACACTAGCTTTTTTCTTGTCAAACACATCCCCAAAATCATGATACTTCTCAGGGAGATTGACAAGAAAAACATGCAAAGCAAAAAGGAAAATCGGTTATTCATGAAGGAGTTTTTTCATAGTGATTGTGGAGATAGGAGGAGGTGTACGACTAAATGGAATGATGAGACGAGGATACTGTCTAGTGCAAGATGGAAAAGAGGAAAAAGAAGAGGGTGAAAACTTCGTAGAGTCAAGAACAGAACCCCGATTTGAGTTTAGGGAACTTTTCCTGATTTGGACTCGATGAATAGTAGGGGAAGCCATGGGAGATGGTGATGTAGGAGAGATGAGCTGTAATTCCTTCCAATAGATCTGAGGCTGATGTAGTTGAAACCAAGGAAGACCGAGCACCACAGAGGAGGACTTACTGTTGATGATGTTGAAGGCAATATCGGTAACGGTGGACCCGATGTGTACTCGAACGGGCAACGTTTCCCTAAGTCCAGAAGATGGAGACACAAAATGCCTACCGATGCCTTCAACCCTCAGGTCCCATATGGTAGAAGAAATAGGAACGTGATGTCGGGCAGCAAAGTCCGTGTCCATGAAGCAGGAAGTTACACCCGAGTCCAGTAGCGCCAGAGCCTTGAGTCCTGATTGTCCGGTGAAAGAAAGGAGACATGGGACACGGAAGTTGCGGGAATTGGTGGTGGCTTTGATGAAAGGTGGTGAGGAGCTTGATAAAGAAGAAAAGTGATTTTTATTCGGGGAGTCCAAACAGACGGCTCCTACTCTGTTTGGATAGGGTCGTTTCCCGACTGCAATAGAGGTGGACTTTGAGGCAGAGTGAACTCGAGTAGTCAGGGAGGCTTCTTGGGACACACAGCTGTTTTGTGATTAGGATCAGCACAGTAGAGGCAAAGATTATGAGATATTTGACGTTGCTTCTGAGCAAGACTCAACTTCCCTCTAATGAGTCGGGGAGTACCAGAAATATTCATTGGGACTGGAGCAGTAGGTTCAGGAGTATGCCCCGAAGACTCAAGCTGAGATTCCTAGGTCTGGGACGGAAAAACAGTGGCACGGCAACTTTCCTGACGACATTCAAAGAGACGATTGTCACATCGAACAGCTTTGTTGATGGCGTCCGACAGGTCCTTAGGATCCTCCATGGTGAGCAACAAATCCTTGACACCGTTGTTGAGGCCGAAACGAAATTGGTCAATCAAGGCCCACTCATCCCACTGAGTGTCCAAGGCAAGGAGTTGGAACTCTGCAGCGTAGATCGAGGCAGGACGAGACCCCTGAGAGAGACATCTCATCTTTGTGGTAGCAGCCCGAACCCGATCTATCTCGCCAAAACATGCTTCGAGCTTCTCTTTGAATAATTGAAGATCCATCAGCTCCGGAACCATGACCCCTTTCATGCTCTTCTCCAGAAGAGGAGAAAACCATGACAAAGTTGCAACTTCGAGCAACGTCCCAATTGCGCCGATTTGAGACTCGGGAGTGGGGTACCGCCGATGTTGAAGTGTAAAGATCAGCTCCATCTGGTTCAGAAATCCGTAAAGCTCCGAACGCTTGCCTGAAAATTTCACCGGGAAACTCACCTTCGGTTCAGGAACTTTGCTGGATCCCTGAGCCGAAAGTGAAGCAAGCTCCTGCTGCATGCGAAGAAGGGTCGCCTTCAGCTCAGTATTCTCAGACTGGATTTTTGCAAAGACTTCGGCAAAGAAATCAGGATGGCTTGGAGACTCCATTGGCAAGAAGAAAGAAAAAAGGGAGAAGAAGACAAAGGCAATCAAACAATCGAAACGAGCTAAAGCAAAAGCAAAAAGCACAATCTGAATCAAACTGTCAAGACCCCCAACAAGATCAAGACTGGAAAATGCAAAAGACAAAGAGAAAAGCTAGTGGAAACAAAGAAGAAGCTTTAGATTGGCGTTGATTCAGATTGTGGAGAAATGGAACAAGGCTAACCTATATATACTATAGGTTGATGAAGCTCCACCACTCTTGAATCGAGGACGGCCTAAATATAGCTGAGGTCGAGGAGGCGCCACATCAACATCAGGAATGTGGCTCGAGACTCAGGAATCATACAGGAAATCAGAGAGTCAGGAATAAAGAAGTGTCTCGAGAGTCAGGAATAGGGAAGTGTCTCAAGAATCAGGAATGTGGTCTGCAGGTCAGAAATCCGGCGAGAGTCAGGAATGTGGCAAGAATTGGGGGATTCCTAACACAATCTTCAAAAGCATTAGCATTTGAGGAAGGAAGATAAATTAGAATAAGGCCTTCTATAAAGATGTTACACAATACGATGAAGAAAAAGATGACTCTGCTAGCCCAACTACAGTTGAGAAAATGGTTCATGGCACACTTATAGAGTATATTCCTTAAGCTTTTATTGGTGACTTAAAGATTGTTTGCTTAAAGTGTCACTTTTTATTTGTTAGTGATGATGTTAGTATAGACTTTTGTAGTGCATGTGATTATACAATGAAATTTGAATATACTATCACTATGGATCCTTGAAACTTTGAAAGATAAATGGGGATAAAATAGCCACTAAGGGCTTTTTCACTAAGCAATTGCTCCTTGTCTAGTTAAATTTTTAAGGGGAGAAAGATAGTGTGTTACATGTGGTATTAAAACAAATAGGATGGGTTTTATTTTCATTGATTAATGGCTATTTAAAATATATTATACCCCTAGTATAAAGTCAGGTTTGCCATAATCTTAATTTTTTAAAATCTATAATATTTATAATAAATTATAATTGAAAATTGAGCTCAACATTTCAATTCATGAGCTCAAGTGTGGTCCACACTTATACTGCACCAACTAGCATGGTATAGAGTTTGGGCTTAAGTTAAGTTAAATGCAAAACAAAAATAGACACGCAAGTAAGAGTTAAATTATGCCTTATATTGGTTGGATATACCTGATCTACCCACTATTTTCACTATACATTTAGAACCCCCAAATAAAAATAACTAATGGTACTAACCTTTTATTGTCGTGGTAGTAAGAGAAAAATATTTGAAAGGATTCACCAATAAGGAATTTTTTATACTTATAGCTATATGCGCAACACTTATCCATGGTTGCTAGTTCCTCCTCATGCCTAAAGATGCTCTCACCACCCTCACAAGAAAACCTGTTACAATACTAAGGTTGCTAGCATTGTTACACTTAGAGAGAGAGAGAGAGAGAGAGAGATTTTACTTGCTAACTCTAGCACACTTGGCATGATATTGTCTAGTTGGTTGTGGGGCAAGCTTGAGGGCAACATTTTGTAGAGCACCGTGAATAACATGATTTACCCTCACCTAGATCTGGCAGATAAACCTTGAAACAAAGGATGAAGAGAGTGTGAATAGAGAGCTGGATGATGCTATAGCTGGTAATGAAACTCTTATAAACTAGAAAACCTAGATATAGCAAGAAACCTTAGTGTGAGATGCAAGCACATGCCATGGCACAGCTAGAAAACTAGAGCTTTTGAGGAAACACTATAAGCTAGTCAAAGCCAAGTAAATACTTATATTGCAACCATAACTCCTGCTCAGTGATAGATTTGAGAATTTTATCAAGGCTAGGTGATGATTAAGATGTCCAAGTTCTTTATCACAAGTCTAGGCACTGAAAATCCTTTACCTAAGAGCTGGATGCCCTCTAGAAACAAGGAAGGTGGCCATAGCAAAAAAGACTATTCGATTGTAAATTCTTTCATAGCTCTTAATGTATAAAGTATATAATTTATACATAAATTAGTAAATAAACCATGTTATTTAAACCATAAATCAAACTAGTAAGTAAACTATGAAGTAAACTGTTATAATCATTTCACTTTTTTTATTACTAAAACTCATAATAATTTTACAGATCAGTAAAAATAATAAAATTTATAATCAAGTACCTTATAGTGTAACTACAAACATGGTGAAGTTGGTTGGGTAGGCAATATAAGTTAGCAAATTATAAAAGGAAATTTTATGGCTTATTGATTCACAATCTAATGTTATTCCATATATAGGAAGTTTTTGAGTTTATCTCTTAATATGAAAGTTTATTTTGCATCCCAAGGGTTTACAAATATATAATAGGGGTAATGGTTAAAGGTATGATTTTTTAAAACACTATTTGGCTCCCTTTTGAGTGTGTGTATCTTTGTTTTGGATCCAACTTGGGTAAACCCATGTTCTATGTTAGCTAGTGGAGTATCTAAATCCTTATGTTAGGTCACCAGTATTTGAAATAATGCCAAATTTTGTTTAGCTTCATTTTACATACTAATCTTGGTGTTGAGATTTTAGAGGCCTATTATAGGGATAATAGGTAGTTTGAAGACATAGTTATTATTTTGCAGGCTTTACCAAAGCTATTGAATTGTTTGTTTGTATGACTTTTAAAGTGTTGTTTAGTTTATTAAATTGAGAATACAATACTCAAGCCTTCTAAATTGGTCCTTTTTGTGTGTTTTAATCACACTTTTCTTAGTAATATATATGTCATAGCTTTTATGTGTTTTTCTGATCTTATGTTACTTTTGATACTCACAAGCAGGATTATTTCCAGTAAAAACTGTCATAATTACAAATGAGTCTCAAAAGGAACTATCAATACAGTGCAGATCCAAACAAAATGATATTGGACTTGAGGTATTAAAGTATATGGAGAAATATGGCCTCAATTTTGGGGATAGAGTTGTAATTGGTAACACTCTCTTTGGGTGTGATGCTTCTCTCAATGGCAAATCCCATTCTTTTCATGGATATGATCAAGAAACCAGTCAGCAATATCTCATCATAGAGTGGTATATTTATGACTTTGCCATATTCCATACTGATTACCATCGAACACTGAAGGAGTGGGCAATACCAATTGTTGAAGTTGAGTGGTGACAAGGTGAATAATGCATACTAATTAATTTCATGTGTTAATGGTGTTGTATTGCCATTGAAACAAATTTCTTTCTCATGCTTTCATTTTTACTGTAGAACCTTTTCTAGAACATAGAAAAATGAGCTAACTTCCAGCCGAGTCCGACACAAGCAACTTCTTGCTCATGTCGGCTGTGAGAAGCCACATCCTCAAGCTCCGCCCTTCAATCCTCCAGCTCCCCGCCAGTCTCGTGAAAGGAATCCCCAGCTTCACAATCTCCCTCTCCACAGCCTCGCGCACCACGGACTCGCCCTCCACTTTGCTAAACTTCCCCCACCCCGTCACAACCGTGACAAACGCTGGAAAGTTCACGAAGTCCGGGAACACCCTCTCGATCGGCCCCGCCGGAACAAGCGCCTCCAGAGAGATCTCTAGCGCTGCCGGCGACGATGCCTCGGATCTCTTGTCAAAGCCTGGCTCTGGAGCGTCTTCTCTCGCGGTAGCTTGGGCAGCCTCCTCGAGCCACTTCAAAAACTGGTAGAAGGCAACTTGTGCTGCTCCCACGGACAAGTTTCTCAAATCCAGCCTCCACTCTCGCCGGTTTAGCAGGCACTGGCACTCGCGGTAGCCCCTCTGTAGCGTCCACTTAAGGATGATTGCCGCGCGGCGGTGCCAGCCCAGTGTCCATAACGCGTCTATAAGACCCGACGTGAAAATCTTCCAGGTCTTTACGTTGTCCGGGCTGATCACCTTTCCCAGCTCCAAGACAAGAGCTTCCACCTGGGAATGCCATTTGGTGTTGGTAAGAAACTGAAAACCAGATAGATCGGCTCACCTGGTCGTCGTCGAGTGTCTCCATTAGCAAGTACCGGAGAATAATTATTGGCTTGGAGTCGAACTCCCTGAAAAAATTTATCAGTATAGTGGCCTCCTCCACCGTTTTGCAGTTTTTCGAGCTCAGGGCCATAAGAACCACTGTGCACGTAACGACATTTGGATCGCAGCGCGCAGCTTTCATGTCAGAAAATATGCCCTCAAGCTTTGACCAGTTGCCCCACTTTACGCAGGCGTCAAGAGCTTCGGTGAATATATAGATGTTACAAAGCGAGGAGTTTCTTTTGACATCATCGTAGATGCCGAGTACCTACAGAAACAAAACCAGTCAGTGACAGGCACACGCAAACAAAACGAAGGGAGTTACCTCTTTGTATGCTCCAACGGACTTGAAGCAGTACATCAGGCTCAGAAAGCTTACATACGTAGGCTCCAGTCCAGACTCGATCATCTCGTGGAAACACGATTGAGCCAGCGCGTGGTGTCCACTCTTGCTGTACATAGTCATCAAGATGTTGAAGGTTATGGCCGACGGCTCGATCCCCAGGTCTTTCATGGTCTGGAAAATCTTCATCGCCTCCTCAATCTTCCCTTCTTGCCCATACCCGTGCAGCAAACACGAGAACGTCGTCACGTTGGGCATAACCTCGGCCTTAACCATCTCCCGGAGCACGTCCAACGCAGCTGCGCAATTGCCTACACTGCACAAACACACACGACTTCACTCGGAAACCAAAAAGAAAAACGAAAGTGCTGGAAACGTAAGAAACTCACCTGAAGCAACGTAGACATTGATGAGCGAAGAATACGTGATCACATTGGGCTCCAGGTCCTGCTTCTTCATATTTGAGAAGAACACCCGCGCTTCCCATGCCTGCTTCCCGGTGGCACAGGCAGCGATGAGAATGTTGTATGAAGCAACACTGGCCTTGACGCCTCGAAGATACATCTCCTTGAAAACACTCACCACCTTTGTCAGCTCGTGCCCAGCCTTCACGTAGGAATGCATCAAGATGTTGTAGCTGAGATGATTTGGCCGGATCGACTGCTTCATGTCCCGGAACAAATCGTCCACCGCCTCCAGCTTCCCGGCCTTACAAAACGCGTGGAGCAGCGCATTGTACATGCCCGCGTCCTTCTTCACGGAGATCTTGATGAAATGGTTGAAGACCTGGACGGCGATGTCGAAAGAGCTAGCCTTTCCAAGCACGTCGATGATGTGGATTCGCAAGTATGGGTCGAGGTGAAACCAGTTTTGGAGCTGCATCCAATCCAAGACTGCCATCGTGATCTGGACGGAGCCCCTAGTGCCAAATTCCCGGACTAGATCGCTGGCCACCGAAACAACCTCGTCGTAGGACACTGCCGCGGCGCTCCGCAGTGGATCCACGCTCATCTGCCGCAGCCACCTCTGGAGGATCGCCTTGACGCAGGCCACATCGTTGGATCGCAAGATTTCGCTCACGAGCAGCCGGACATCGCTCTCGCTCTGCCTGTAAGACGCTCGCGAGCTCTCGGCGTACTCGCTGTCGATCGATTCCTCCAAGCTGCCGCTCTGGTAATCACGAGCGGCTCGCTCGTGATCGGCCGCGACATTGGCGTCCAGCTCGTCGATTGCCTGCATTCCTCCGCCATCGCTGGCGATCGACCGGAGATTACCTCGATTCTGGAAGAGCTTCTTGCTGGAGATCCTCGCCAGCACCGCGCCGCGCCTTGGCAACATCACATTTGGGGAGAGAATGCGCTCCTCCTCCCATAAGCCCTAAAATAACACAGACCACCGTCCGATGCTTAAAATCAAGGGGAACCGTTGGATGAAATTGGTCATCGTAAAACAAAATAGGAGCCGTTGGATGAAAAACAAGATTAAAATTCACCAAAAACGATAGGAGCCATTGGATGAAGAGCATCAAGGACAACCGTCAGATAGGAAGAGAAAACCTTAAAATTCACAGAAAAATGATAGTACACGCGCGAGCGAGCAATCGATCAGCAGGGGATTTGCTCCGTGAACCATCGTATAACGTGAAGCGGCGCCTTAATCAGCTCCAACGCCAGATTGACAATGGCGGCGACGCAAATACAGCATGGGCAGATGATGGTGAGAAGGATCCTGCCACGAAACAGAGAAGCAAAATCAAACGCGAGCCAAAATCCCTAAAATTCGCCACAGATCTGGGCGCTTACCCGACGATCCACACCACGACCCCCACGAGAGAGATGAGAAACGAGAGGATTGCGAAGGGCAGTCCCAGCAGGAAGCCAATCGGGTGGCAATTGTCGCAGCACATCGCGATCGATCAATCGATCGAAACCAAGCAAGAAGGAAGAAAGAAGAAAAGGGAAGCGCGAATTTTCCAAAAGCAGCAGCTAGGGCAGGGCTCCTTTCTCTTTGCCGCTTTTATTTTGCTTCTTCCAGGAAATGGATCGAAAAACCACGTCGCCGTCGTTTTTGAAGGAGCTTGACAGCGTCAGCCATAGGCATGCGTACGAAACCGCCATGGCCCAAAAGATGACAGGATTTCGTACCGGGTGTGAGGTCAATGCAGTGGTCACCCCCTCCCCCGGATGGGAATGGGCCAGTCCGTGCACTTCGTACGCATTCGAGTTCTGGCCAGGGTGGTCTAAATCTTGGAGTATATGGCGCCAATCCTCCTGGCGCTAGGGTTCGTCCGGGGAGCTCGCTCCAGGCGCTCTACGGCTGCATTTTGGGAAATCTCTGCGGTGTGATGTGATTCAGGTATATTTCGAGTGATTGCCGCATCGGCATTTGATTTTGGGAGGATCTTTCAAGCTCCCGATCGATCGGGGCTTCTATGTCTCAAAAGTGGATCAGGAATCCTCCGACGCTAGCCCACACGATTCCATCTCCTGGCGAGCTCAGCCGCCAGAGCATTGGTTTCCTTAGCCCGATCCGGTTCTCCTGCTTTAGAGCGAATTGCCAAAGGCAGCCAACGCAAATGGAGTGTGATGCCTCACAAGCAACGAAGAAGAATCCATTCAGTGGTTTCCTGGAGAGCTCGAAGTAAGTGTGACTTATTTTTCTGTTTCATTGAATGTGAATCTTATGCTGGGAATTTTCAGGAAAGTCTTTGAGGCCGATGATCTTGGGCGAGAGATTGCAGCTGTCGCTCTTCCGGCATTGCTTGGACTTGCCGCGGATCCACTCGCTTCTTTGGTGGACACGGCATTCATCGGTCAAATAGGTAGCCATTCTTCTTTCTTCTTTCCTTTTAGTTTAATAACTCTCGCTGTTTTGTCAGGCTCGGTGGAGTTAGCTGCTGTAGGTGTCTCGATTTCGGTTTTCAACTTGATATCAAAGATCTTTAATATTCCTCTTCTCAACATCACGACATCTTACGTCGCAGAGGACAACGTTGCTGGATGCGGCTTTGAGGAAGGCATCCCGCTGACGGAAGCCGCTGGTAAACTTAGTCAAGCATGCATTGCATAACTAACACGCGGCAAATCAGAAGAAGGCCACTTCATTGAGAAGCCTGGAAAGTCTGAGAAGCGCGTCTACCCGTCTGTTTCATCAGCGCTGTTTCTGGGATCGTCACTCGGAATCATAGAGGCTCTTGTGCTGTTGCTTGGAGCCTGGCCAATTCTCAGAATAATGGGGATTTTGGACGTAAGTGTTGGTTGGTGTTGAAAGATCAATGGTCTAATTCTCTTGGAACAGGATTCTCCAATGCGTCTTCCTGCGCAGCAGTATCTATCAATTCGGGCTCTGGGAGCTCCTGCAGTTGTTGTTTCTCTAGCTACGCAAGGAGTGTTTCGTGGCTTTAAAGACACAAAAACTCCTCTGTATGCTACAGGTAAATTAATTTTGTTCTTTCTTTCTTTCGTTCTCTGACCTGTGTTTTGATGATAGTCACGGGGAACATAGTGAATGTGGTGCTGGATCCAATTTTGATGTTTTCTTTTGGATATGGAGTTACCGGGGCAGCTGTGGCAACAGTCGTGTCACAGTGAGTTGCAGGCAACTGATTGCTATGTTTTTTTACGTTCTTTTAGTTTGGCAGATATGTGATTGCGTTCATTTTATTGGTGAAACTAAACGAAGTTGCTGTCCTGATCCCGCCTGATATATCAAGACTGGGCCTAAGACGTTTTTTTTCGTCTGGTAAGGCACATACGTTTGTGAAGATTTCTGGAACTGAAAGTTTTTTCATAGGTGGTCTGTTGTTCACGCGAACCATTGCAATACTGCTTACCATGACACTGGCAACTTCAATGGCTGCTCAGGAGGGTGTAGCTCCTATGGCAGCACATCAAATTTGCATGCAAATCTGGTTGGCTGCATCTCTTCTTTCTGATTCCCTGGCGCTCGCCGGACAGGTGAACATACCACGGGGATGTTCTATCGTCGTGTTCTAAAGTCCTGTTTTTCTAAGGCTGTTATTGCCGATTTCGTGGCACGGAACAATGGGCAAAAGGTTAAAGAGGCAACATTTAGAGTCTTGCAGGTACTCCTTTCTTGCAGGTTTCTCCTTTTAACTAGCTTCGATCTGACAGCTGGGCATTGTGTTTGGTTTAATCATGGGAGTAATCCTTGGACTTGGTGGCCAACGCTTTTCAAAACTTTTCACCAGTGATGATTTGGTGATACAAGCATTGATCACTATCATTCCGGTAAGTGTATACATTTTCTTCTTAGTGATACAATCCTTAGATTGACATGCTTGCTTTGTAGTTTGCTGTTTTGACTCAGCCTATCAACTCTATGGCGTTCGTGTTTGATGGCATTTTTTACGGTGCAACTGACTTCGCCTTTGCAGCCTACTCAATGGTGCGAAACTCGAATTTTTTTTATGCAAGGACGGCTAAGTGTTTTTATTTTGCAGATAGTGATTGGAATCATTTCCTCAGCGGTTCTTTTCGCTGCGCCATCCTTCCTTGGTTTACCTGGTGTATGGCTTGGCTTGACTGTACTCATGAGCCTTCGAATGGCTTCCGGCATTTTGAGGTAACGATCTATAAGCCTTTGGATACCATAAGCTAAACCGCCGTTTCAATGCAGGCTGGGGACTGCCACGGGTCCTTGGCAGTTTTTGGCAAACGAGAGCTTGGAGATTGACAATTCTTAGGTGCTATCGCGCTGTAGACTTTACTATATCAAGCACAACAAGTCAACAACAATAACTCACGAAAGGACCAAGGTGCGTACAGTTCTCATGAGATTCATAGTTTCTCCTGCAGGGAGAGAGGGAACGAAAAGAAAAAAAATTTAGATCATAGACCAGTTTAATGCACAGCAATAAGCAAAGCCAGTATCCATTGACGTCGACTCTAAGATTGACGATGACGGTGCTTTGCTTTTTCATGGGCTGACACTGTTGTAGAGCGTGTGAGGCATGTCTTTCTTTCGCCTTTCCAGCTTTCGTTTGGCTCGACTAAACCAGTTCTCTTTTTTTTTTTTGTTTCTACAGGTTTTGGAACATGTAACTTGGATCAATCAAAAGCAGTATCATTTAGACAAGGGTCCAGTCACATACATATGCTTTTTCTAACTTCTACCACTCCTTTTCTTCTTCCTGTTTGCTTGCAGGGATGAGCTGTGGCCAGCACTTTGCAATCCACTTGGTGGCAGCATAAAAAACAAAGGTTCTTACTTTGTTTCATATTGTTTTAAACAAGATCTCTTCGTTCCCAGGTTTCTAAGTGACTGATCAATGGGCCATGAAGCTTTGACTGCCTTGGTGACACAAGCACTGCGCTCATGATTCACAGGACGTATGATGGCTTGCGTTCGCTTGCAAGGCTCTGCCAAAGAAATCTTCGGGGAGATATCATCTTTGTCTAGCTCCAAGCCCAATAGTAACTCGGACGAACAAAGTTGTTTCCAATCTGGAAGGCGCAAAGAGGTGAGCTAATAATCTCTGGCACCTTCCACTTTACATCTTGTCCACACTAAACTATTCCCTCCAGGAGTTTGAAGGCCCCACAAACACAAGCACCCAATTCTTCGTGCATGGAGCACGAGAACACGTCGAGAAACAAGCCCGAGAGGTCCACTTTTTTTTTCTCTCTCTCTCTCTCTCTCTCACTCTTTTTTTCTTTCATCGTCTTGCTTTGCTTGGATTGTGATCCAAGGCTAGCACCGATAAAAACTCTAAAGGTTCTCTTGATTTCTTGTCTCGTCTCGTCCTGGAAGAAACACTCCTTTTTTTTTTCCTGTGACCGGATGGATAGATAGATTTGTTATTGGTTTGGGTGCGTGTGGGATGAGCTATTCTTTTATGCTATAATCTACGCGAAATCGCTTATACAATAGCCATAGCTATTTGGGATCGATCATGCCAAATGTCATCCGCGGAGAATTTTGGAGGGTGGTGGCAAAGCTTAAAAACTCTTTTGCAGAGATGCTGCTGTTGCTGCTGCTCGAAAAGAAATCGCTTTGATTTTGTTTGGTGCTGGCTTTGAAATTGCTTTGTCAGATTTTTCCTCTCCTTTCTCTTGAAGAGATTGGTGGCCTGTTTGCTGCTGGAGCAGCAACAGGTGCTTTGCCACAATTAAATCCACATTTCTCCTCCCTGGATCTCCTGTTGTTTACTTGTGGTCCATTTATTATTTCCACAACAAAGCACCAAAGGTCGTTCCAGCACTTCGTGTTTTTGGATCCATTCGATCGATCGATCGATCGATCCAGAAGTCGTTTCGTCGCCTTTCCCAAATTTCATATTTGCACGAAAGTCACTCACTCCATGTGATCTAGAATCTCCGCGTGGATTAATTAGCACAAATCCCTCTTTTCTAATCGCGCGGTTTGACGACAATGCATGCACATGCACGATGTTCAAAAGAAAAAAATTGGACAGTGTCACGAAATTGGAACGTGACACGTAACATGGCCGCCATGACCTAAAGAGATATACCCTGCCTTGGGGACGGCATATGCCTGTGTCGGGCGCCGGCAGGCCGGACATTATGATGGCGTCCAGGTGGCGAATCCTGGCGCAGCGATGAGCTGGCGTGGCATTTTATAACGTTCGCGGGCGCCGTTAACATCCCCCACAAGCCTGCCGTACAGCGCGGGCCGCGGTCGTACTCCTCATCCGTGAGGCGTGAACGCCGTTACTCGTGACGGCCGCCCGTCACTTGCCGGCTTACACATTGCGAAGAAAATGCCATTCCTTTGAGCAGAAGAAGAGAGGCGAGAAAAAAACTCTCCTTGCCCAGAAGAAGGAAATGGTGGCGATGGCGATGGCGATGGCGATGGAGTAGAGTGTAGATAGAGCCATTTGATTTCTATCATAGAGAAATAGATTAGAAGCACTTCTTCCTCTTCGTCTCACGGATCGTGGATAGTGAGTGTCTCGAAAGTTGCGAGCTCGCGATCCATTCGGGCTTTTCGCCCAATCCATCCGCAATGCAGCAGCGGCGATCGTTTGATCCCAAGGCTCTCACTCCCTCTTCCTCTATTTCTCCTCAGAGAGCGATCTAAGCCTCACACTCTCGCTCGCTCGCCACTGAGACAGAGGGAGCTCGCAAACAAACACCCACGAACTGGGCAGAGGATGCGCGGGGAGAGCTTGAAGATCAAAATGTGGAGCTCCAGCGGCAGCGCCGCCACCGCCGCCGCCACTAAATCCACCGCCGCCAAGGGCCGCCAGATCCACAAGACGCTCAACAACATCAAGATGACGGTTCTCTGTGGATTCGTCACCATCCTGGTGCTGCGTGGGACGATCGGCGCGGGCAGCTTTGGCACGCCGGCACAAGATCTTCACGACATCCGCGACACTGTCCACCGGCGGAAGGACGCCGGGCGCGTTTTGGCGGAGGCCAAGAGCTCGAGCAGCGCCATAGCCGAGGAGGAGGCCGAGGTGGAGGCTGAGGTGGTGGACTCGGGCATGCCGTATAGCCTGGGGCCGAAGATCTCCGACTGGGACGAGCAGCGCGGCGAGTGGCTGCGCAAGAATCCACACATGCCCGCGGTGGTAAATGGCAAGCCCAGGATTTTGCTCGTCACTGGATCGCAGCCCAAGCCCTGTGACAATCCAGTTGGGGATCACTACCTCCTCAAGGCCATCAAGAACAAGGTGAGTCTCTCAGTCCCATAGGCCTAGATCTCTTCTCTGGAGAGTTTTTGCTGTCTCTTCTTCCTCCATCTCCTGCTTGGATTGCTGGTTTTGCTTCATCCAGAGCTCCTTTTCCTTGCTTGGAGTTTTGGGTCTCTAGATTCCGTCGGGATTAATCTCCGGGCTCTGAGAATCCTTGACTTCTCTCGTTTTGTTCCGGATTTCCAAAGATTTCTCGCATTCCTTTGTTTTGGGCATTGAAAATTCACATCTTTCGACAATGCTGGTCAAGAATTTCACCACATTGCCCTCCAAGAACCCTAATTTCTCTCCTCCCCCCTGTTCTTGCAAAATCCCTCTCAAATTGGTGAAGTCACATTCTCCAAAGTCTTCCATCTCGCCAGTCCTGCCAGTCGAAGCTCCAAATTCCAGTCTTTTCCGGTCGAAATCACCCACATGGAAGAATTTTTCCTCATCGGTTCCCCCCAAATTCGTTTTTCGAAGAACCCTAATTTTTCTATCTTCGTCTTCCCCAGGTGGACTATTGCCGGCTCCACGGCATCGAGATCTTCTACAACATGGCGCATCTCGATCACGAGATGGCCGGCTACTGGGCCAAGCTCCCGCTCCTCCGCAAGCTCCTCCTCGCGCACCCGGAGGTGGAATGGATCTGGTGGATGGACAGCGACGCGATGTTCACGGACATGGTCTTCGAGCTCCCCATGGAGAAGTACGCGAACTACAACTTCGTCCTCCACGGCTGGGACGAGCTCGTCTACAACAAGAAGAATTGGATCGGCCTCAACACCGGCAGCTTCCTCATCCGGAATTGCCAGTGGACGCTCGACATCCTCGACGATTGGGCGCCAATGGGGCCGAAGGGGAAGATCCGCGACGAGGCCGGGAAGATCCTCACGGCATCGCTCGCCGGGAGGCCGGCATTCGAGGCCGACGATCAATCCGCGCTCGTCTACCTCCTCATGACCAAGCGCGATCGCTGGGGTGATCGCGTCTTCCTCGAGAGCTCCTACTACCTCCACGGCTACTGGGCGATTCTGGTGGACAAGTACGAGGAAATGATCGAGAAGAACCACCCGGGGCTGGGCGACGATCGGTGGCCATTCGTGACGCATTTCGTGGGATGCAAGCCCTGCGGCCGCTATGGCGATTACCCGGTGGAGCGATGCCTCAAGCAGATGGAGCGGGCATTCAACTTCGCGGACAACCAGATCCTGGAGATCTATGGCTTCCGGCACCGCGCGCTAGGCAGCGCCAAGGTGAAGAGGACGCGCAACGAGACGGATCGGCCGCTGGATCGGCCGCTGGGGATCAGCAATATCGTCGTTGGCGGGAATTAGGGTTCTTGGGGTGTAGAAATTTAGGGTTCTTCAGAGCTCTGTTTTGTGGTTTTTCTTTTCTTTCCTTTTTGTCTTTCTTTTGTTTGTGTATAGATCCCGCGCTTGCGCTTTCTCCAAGAACAAGCAAGTAAATCCTAGAGATTTCACTAGATCATTGTGAGTAAACTCAAGAGATTCACTAGAACTTTTGTGAAAAGCAAGCAAATTTCGAAAGGAAATGGAAACCAGCTAAAAAGCATTGCTTTGAGAGAAGAGAATAAGATGCTTTTTTGAAGCTTTAAAGAAGAGGAGGATCTATCTTTGCTCCTTGAGGGAGCAAACGAAAAAAAATTGGAAAGAATAATCGAAAAGGAGATTTGTATGCAGTAGATTTTCTTAATTTCATGTTGTCTTCACTTTGATCTGCTGCTTTTTTCTAAATCTCTTCGAATGCGCTCGCTTCATTCCCACAAAGTACAAGAGAGCTCCACACAGTGACAGGCTCTGCGAGAAAAAACACAAAATGGCGAACAATTTCTAGCGAATTTCACGAAACTTACCTTGAGAAATTGCATAAACTCGTTCGCATACTCTGGTGTTCCTACGTCAAAGTTGTAGAAATCGTGCCATATCGGTGTCTCGATGAACAAATCTAGGAGCTAACCAAAAAGAATCCGAGACAATGAGATGACAAACTCGAGCGAAAGAATCCAAAGGAAACTTACGAGTAAGTAGGCCCCGAAAACGCTACCGAAAGTGAAGAGAATCCCTCCCACGCCTTGCAGTAGGATGGACGCGAAAACCACATACTTCAGCTGCAAAGATGGAAGAAAAAAATGGTTTTTGTGAGAGATCAAGCTTGAAGGTTTAGAAGGAAATTCTTACGTTAAAGCTGAGGAGGTTCCATCCAAGTCGAGACTCGAGATGATGGCTCAAAGTGAAGAATTTCGGCTGTAGGAGCCGCGCTGCTCCTCCGCCATCGCCTCCAAAATCGTTCACCCTGTTCCAAGGAAGAATTATAGATCAAATTCTACAGCGAGAGAGAGAGAGAGATCTTACTTTTGCCAGGCCGACAGGATGAAAATCGAGGAGAAGAGAACGCGGCCGGAGAAGGAGAGGAAGCCCATGGATCGATCGGGAAGCGCGGAATTTGGAGCCACATAAACCCTAAATCTTGCGCTGCCGTTGCCGCCGCTCGATCTCCCTCCCGCGCATTGGCAGTGGCCACTCCCTAGGATCGCGCGGAAGAACTAGCGCGCTGCCCGTGCGATCGATCAAGATCCAATCACCTCCGCGGCGGCGGCGTAGTCTAGAAATTTTCTCACCATCGGACGATCTAGATCGTACCACTTGTCAGAAATGCAGAGTTCTATCGGATGGCCAGGATCTTCCAAAGAACTCATTGTTGCCTGCACGAAAGCCTTTGGGATTTGCGCGCACTCATCAAAGAGCACAACTGGCATTGGAAAGAAAATGATTTTTAGGGTTCTTCCGGATCGCCGAGGGCGATGGCGTCTTTCACGAGCCTAGGTAGGGTTTAGGTAGTGGAATTTGAAGGAAATCCGGGCGCTAAAGCTTGCCTGGGGCTGGGAGGATGTCATCAGGAATTGGCCGGGCCAGAAGCGCGGAGAGCTCCCCACGGACGTCCAGAGCGGGGAGGAAGAAATCGCCCAATGTAGAGGCGTCGGCGCTGGCTCTCTCGCCAATTGCGACGAGGACCGGGTGTGGCGGCTCTCAATCCGCGTTGCAGTCAGCGTGGATCCAGAGGATTATCCCTCTCCAACGGACTTTCGTGTCGGAAGATCATCCAGAGCTCTACGTAAAGAAAAGGATCGATAATATGGAGTGTACCGACGAAGAAGAGGATTGCCAGCCGGAGGTCTCGGGATTTAAGTTCGATGCTCCATCGAGCTGGTTGACGATGAGAAACTCCGAGAGAGAAGAAACAGAGGTGTTTCCAGGGGCAAGGATCTCTGGATCGCGACAGCATTCCACAGGATTACGGGGCAAGAACTCGGTTTCGTCCGACTCGAAAGTGGTTCCTGTCGCGGAAGACGAGGTGATAAGTTCCAAGTTTACGAGCGCAAAGGTTGTAGAAGAACAGGGATTGGAACAGCAGCACAACGAGCTTCTCGGGTCGGCATGGTTTGCAAGGATAACTCGGAAGGATTTCTCGATAGATGGTGATAGTAATCAGCAGCAGCAGCAGCAGCAACAGCAGCAGGGACTACGATCCTTTCCTCCACTTAAATCCGGGGAGCAGTGGCCGGGAACTTTGAAGCCGTCTGGTTTGCCACCGCTGAGGATACCATCGACGAGAAGTACTGAAAGGTCGGAACAATCGTTGCCTTTGCTCACTCCAGTCGCTGTGCCGCCAAAGCCTCGAGACGATAGCGAAGAAGACGACAGCAATGAGAAGGAAGCGCCATCGCTGATACGAACTATTTCCTTGTTCGACTCGGTGAGTGCGTCGGGATCGTCCTTCACTTGCAGCTTGCCTTCAAACTTCGCGAACGAGAGGAGCAACTCCGATCGCACCAAGAGCTTGCAGGACCGATTCGGTTTCATCAATGGGACCGTCAGGCCTTCGAGAAAGAACTCCAATGCATCGAGGTCGTCTGATACCAAGAGCCTTTTCGAGGATGAAGGTGGCGAGGAGGTCCAGTCTCTTTCGCGCCGTGACGAACTCAACACTGCGAAAACTGGAGGTGAGCTTTCATGATCTGCTACTTATAAACCATGGTTTTCATATTTACTTTTCTCTCGCGCAGGCAAAGCTCTCTCCCGGACTTCTATAGAATCAAATGTAAGAGAAACCTTTTTTTCTCTGATATTCCAGATTGTCTCATATCCGGCATGCTGTTTCACATTCCAGGAAAGATCAAAAGTACCACTCGATCAACCCCAACCCCAACATGACGAAGATCTTCCAAAATATAACCTGAGAAGCCCGCCACAAAGAGAGAGGCTCCACAACTCAAAGTCCGTAAGAGGGGGACAAATGGCTCTTTCTTTTCAGCCAGGCTCGCAGCAATGGCTTCATAGGTGGTGTTCTCCTAGTCCTTACAAAGATGGAGCTCGAGCCAAGTAGAAAAGAGAGAAATTAATGTAGATTAGAAACACAGATTTGTGAATGCTAATCAAAAGTTGGGACACAGAAAACATGAAATATCAAGCAATGTGTTCTTTCCAAATTTCATGTGAATGCGAAAATCTCTATTATTTTGGCCTGGGGGTATTTATGTGCATCCTGGGGGCGATTCTATTAGAAATTTGTGGGGGAATTTGGGTGTGCATGTTGCATATTTCTGAGGGATCTTGCTTGTGTGCATCCCTGTTTTGGTTTTAGTGGTATTTTGCGCGAGGAAGAAGAAATAGTTTTTAGTGTTTGAAGCCCATTAATAACTTATAAATGTCCATAAAAAAATCACAACTTATAAAGTATAAATGTTGTACTGTTTGTGAGATTTTGAGATAGCACTATAGTGTTCTACAAAATCGCATTTGGACAATAGTTATACCACAAGAGATAAATAGTAAATACATATTTGGTAGAGCATTGTGTTGCGGCTAGGAGGGGGAGAAAGGACGGGAGGGGATTTCCAATCTCGTGTCATGGCAATTGGCGGCATTTGCGTAGAGGCGCCTCTAGCTAGGTTTAGGGTTTATGGAGGGGAGCGTGCTGCCGCTGCTGCTCGGCTCGGGCGCTCGGCGTTCGCCGGGGCGCGGATTGCGCCCGGGAGGAGGCAGTTGCATTGCATTCGGGCGGCGAGGGGAATTGGAATCACGGCGGAGCTGAAGAAGGCCGTGGCTGTGCTCAAGGGCTCCGTGGATGGAGTCGTGAATTTGGAACAGGATGGAGACGGTAACGTTTCTTCTTTCTTTTAGGCTTTTGCAAGTAGAGATTGGCGAGCAATTTGGAAGAAATGTAGCTTACAGTTGTGTTTCTTCGATCTTCTTTACGTTGATTCTTGTTTTCTTTGCTCCATGCAGGCCCAACGACTGTGAAGGTGAAAATTTCTGGGCTAACTCCTGGCAAGCATGGGTTTCACTTGGTATGCATGGAAAAAAAGTTCTTGGCTTTTTGATAACAAAACTTACAGCATGAATTCGGGGACACGACTAATGGCTGCCTATCTACGGGTGAGTCCCTCAGTTTTTTTGTTTTTTTTTTTTTTGCTTTTCTTGATCCTTGTTAGCTTACAATCAATCCCATTCTGGTGGTTTTAAATGCAGGCGCGCATTTCAATCCCGAGAACAAGACGCACGGTGGACCGAATGACTCGGTCAGGCATGCTGGAGATCTCGGAAACGTTGTAGCGGATGACAAAGGTTCGACGTCTTTTCTTCTCTCTTTTCTTCTGCAAACTGCAAACGCTTTTGAGTACAGGCAATGTGGACGAAGTTATCGTCGATTCCCAGGTACGAGAACTAAAGTTTCTTCTAACCTTTGGACTCTTTTCCTTGTTGCTGCAGATCCCGCTTTCGGGTGTAAACTCGGTCATTGGAAGAGCTCTAGTGATTCACGAGCTGGAGGATGACCTCGGGAAAGGTGCGAATCCTCCTGAATCTTCATGTTAAGTGCCATACCCTGACGTAACTCGGTGTCGTTTTGTTGGACGCTTGCTCCAGGTGGACACGAACTCAGTCCGACAACTGGTAACGCAGGAGGTCGACTCGCTTGCGGTAACCATTTACTTCGCATCAATCAGAGCTAATCGCTTTTAAAACGCAGGTGTTGTGGGTCTAACTCCCTGAAAGAGAGAGCGAAAGAGAGAGGGGGAGAATGAGAGATCACCAGTCTCTCGTGGCTTGTGCCTCGTTCTCCCTCCTCGAGAGTGATATATCCTCTCCCTCTGCTGGCCGCGCTTCTGGCAATTCGAATAAAGTGGTAACACCTTGAGAGAGAGCTGGTTTGTTGTTTTTCTCTTCTTCTCTCTTCTTTGCTTTGCTTTCCATTGTTCCAGAGTTTTGGCTCGGCTCAGGCCGGGCTTCGCTTCACACATTTGCGTTGAGGAGTCACACGGTAACCAGTAATGTCTTTTGGCAGTTTCGACTGTGTTTCTTCAGGGCCAGCTGCTGCTACTGCTGATTGCTGTTAGCATCGCTGCGCTCGCGTATATGTGCTGCTACTGACGTCCGTTTTTGTGTGTGTCCGCATATTGCGAAGTCACTCTCTTATCTTCTCCTAGTCGGGGCATTATGTGTGAATGGCGAGCGCTAGAGGTATGTGGTCCGCCTTTACACCACAGGAAATAAATCGCATTGCGCTCTCTCTCGCTGCTCGTTTCCAGAAAAAATGAAAAGCGGAAAAAATCTCGTAAGAACTGCGACGCGCGCAGAAGTTAGTGTGGGTGGCTTGTCGACGTCGCCATGAAACACGAAGAAAAGCGCAAAAAAAAAAAGCTGCGAGGTAAAAAAACAAAATGGGCCCCGTTTGGCTTTGTCACTTACAGGAACGATAAACACACGGAGACACGCGCGGCTAAGATAAGATACCAGTGGCCTGGAGGACGCCATATGCTCGTCCGTGTGATCTTCCGTACGGGCGACAGTGGTTGGGTGTTCGATTCCCTTGTCTATAGCGTCGTGGGGCGTCCAGGGATCGAATCTCGCGGGCTTCGATGCTTAAAAGTCGCCGTCTTTGACCGAGCTCTTGGTTTTTTTTTTTTTCTTGGGCATGGGTCGCAGTGAAGAACTCATAGACTGGAGTGGAAATGAATGACAATGGAATAATTAAAACCCTGGCTTGATGCCTCTTCACTCACTGTCTCCTCTCTTGTTGTTGGTATTCACAACAAAATTTTAGCATTGTGTCCCACTCTAAAGCTCAGAAACTAAGAAAGCTTTCCTTCGTCTTCCTCGTCTTGTTTGTTCTTCATGCATCTCTGGAACAAAGCTGGACAGCCGCTCGAGCGCAAAGATCTCTCTTTTCTTTTTTTCAAGCACTGCATTGTCGACGCTGGATCTGCCACTCTCTTTTTCTTTCATTCCTTTGCTCTTTGATGATAGAAGTAGCCACGGTCTCTGCAAACTCTGCCTCGACAAAACAGGCTTTAAACTTGCTAAAGTGATAAGCTACCTCTTCCTGGACGGAGAAAGAATAAGGAAGAACGAAAAATAAAATAAAATCTCCCTGTGATGACCTTTGGCTAGCTGTGGTGGCTGGCTGCGTTTCAGCTGTGTGATGTTCTTGGTCCCCTCCCGGTTTTAATTCCTCCTTCCTCTTTCTCGTCGCCTAGCTCGTCAATCAAAGTTTGCTGGATCGTCAGGCTAGAACCAGACCGCAGGAGAGAGCCATGAGCAAAACCGCGCCTTCCTCCTCGTCCTTCGGCACCGATCTGTTGCTGCTGCTGATAAGCAGCTGTTGCTGCTGTTCTTGAGGAAGCAAGCGCACCATGCTTCCAATCTGCCGCTTCTCCCTCGCGAAGGCCATCCGGCTCTTCTTGTAAGGATGCCGGAGGTGTTGCTGATCGCTCGTGATCCGGGCCGAGCTAGACTGATCCAGCTTCCGCTTCCCAGCCGGGCTCGCGGCCGGAGCTTCCTGATTGTTGCTGTTCCTCCTCGCTTTCCTCAGCCGGATGCCGCAGGCGTTGCAAAGAGACTGGAAAAGAAAAACGACAGCAGCGAGTGAGTTGATCGGGAAAACCAAGAACTTTCGTGTAAGACTTACCTTTGGACCAAGTGGACCATTCCTCCACAGCGGCGTTTTCATTGTTCCACAGTGCTTACACGTCCTCGTGGAGACATTATTGTTGCCGTGCGCGCCAACGGAGCCCATCCCGTCGCCCCGGCTCGATCTCCCGCTGGGCGAAACGGGGTTGTCCACCGCGCCGGAAGTGGCAGCGGCGGCCAGCCTTGTCCTCGGCGAGCCGAGAAGGAGCTGATCGATCTCGGATGACCCCTTTGGATGTCGCTTCATGTAAGACTGCCGAAAGGACGACGATTTCTCGGAATGGCTCCTTGCATCGTCGTGATCATCACTCGCCTGGCACACCCAAGAAAAAAAGAAAGCGTCAATACCAAAACCAGAAAAAAAAAAAAGGAAAAAAGAGAGGAAAATGAAAAACCACGCAAGAGGACAAGGATCAAGTGAAGAACTCAAGACGGTATCAGCATTCTTCTCTCTCTCTCTCTCTCCTTTTTTTTTTGTTTTTTTTTTTTTGCCTTTTTCACTTTACCTGTGATGTGCTACTCGTGGTCGAATCCGACTCCGCGGCGGAGGAGTTGGAGATGGTGTCCGGATCCTGTCTCTGCTCCTGATCCATCCCCTTGCATTTGCTCGTCAAGCAATCCACCGCCGTTTGCTCGCTCGAGCGCTCCTGCTCGTGATCGTGATGATCCTGATCGCGATCGTCGAAGCTGATCATGTTTTGCCTCACCACCAGCACCTTACGATCGTCGCCGCCGCCCTCGATCTCCTCCTCCTCCTCCTCCTCCGCCACTCCCTGATCCACCGGATCCTCTCCAGCCTCGCCGGCTGCCAGTACCCCAGGGACAAGACCATCGAACTTCGTATCGCGATCGCCCTCCTCCTCTGGATGCTGGATCACAAGGCTCTTGGGCGTCGTCTCCAGCTCCTCTAGCTCCACCTCCCTATCCACCACCGCGGAGGAGAAGGGACTGCTGGCGGCATCAGAGGATCCGGCCTTGGCAGCTCCAGTGGCCGACGCTGGGCTCCTCTTCCACTCCCCAGACGAGGTCGGGGAGGCCGAGATCGGCGAGTCGTGATTAACGGCAACCTTGATCGAGGAGCTGGAGAACTGCGAGCGTAGCTGCGGGCGACGCTTACCACATATGCGCTTGCTGGCCGCGGGGGACGATCCATGATCCGGGGACGCCGCCGTGGCGGCGCTAGCGCTGGCGCTCTTCATGTGATCACTGCAACTGGTGGAAACTCTCTCGGCTAGGGCGGCGCCGCTGGGATCCTTCTCGTTGGTCTGCCGGAGCCAAAACTTCTTATAGTGACTGCGCCCGTAGATGGGAGGAGAGAGGCATGGAACCTGCAGCATTATAATCTATCCTCTCCCCGCGCGATCCACAGGGGAATTCCCCGCGATCCAACGCCTCCGCCGCCGCGATCACGATGATCCTGCCAAGAAGAGACCCGCGCACGCGAAATATTTCGCTAACCTGCGAGGAATTGCGCCGCCGGGGCGCGGCAGCATCGGAATCGAGCGTCGCCGCGCGCTAGGGCCGCGCAAACCCTCGGCGATCGGAGAACCACCGCCCGCCCGCTCGATCGAGGGAAGCAAATAGAAAAAAGACTGTGAGCGCGGCTGGATCGATGATCGAGAGAGAGAGAGAGAGAGAGAGAGTGTGTGTGTGTGAAGATCACGCGGCCGGATCTAAAGCTTGCAAGACAAGGCGGCGAGAATATGAGAAGGGCGCGCGACGCTAGAAAAGAGGCCCGCTTAATAGGAATGGGCGATCTTTCTCTCTTTGATAAAGCGGCGCCGCCATATCCCAAGAAGAGGGAATCCAGTGGCGCCGCTGGTCCTTTACAGCCGTCCAATCCCAGCCCCATCTCCAGCCGTCGATGCCCCATCTACGCCCCCGATCCGACGGCCACGGATCGCCACCGCGAGGCTTTCCCGACACGAAATATCTCGCCCGGGAAGGGTGGTCCAAAAATAAGACTTTAGGGCGACCGCGGGTTTTGGCCATGGCGCGCGCGGCTGGTTTAGGACGCATACGGCCGGCTCACGGGGATGTGTACGAACGGTACGGCCGGCTCTGTCGGCGTGAGGTTAGTTAATTCCCCCAAAAGTTACCATCTGCTGATACCCTGTTGGCGCGCTGGGATCGTTTTCTACGAGTAAATGCCCCCCGCCATTCTGCGAAAGAAGGATGCCCTAAAAATTGCGGCGCCAAAGCGAGCCAACGGTGCGATCGACGTTGTGCGATCGTGGCCGTCGGGGGCGCTCACGATATTCTTTTTCCATTTTTTTTTCCTCGCGGTGAAAACGACCGCATTTGCCCGTGAAGTAATTGCTACATCTACCTGGAGGAGGCTTATCGTCATCATCGCCATCATCGTTCGATCGGTTTGACCCACCCCACATTTACCACGAAGGCTACAGTAAAAATTTGTGAGCGTTAACTAACTGGGTGTCTCCCAGTTTGTTTGGTTGAACGAAACAGTTAATAGGAGTTTAGGTTTGGGGAGCGCGCGCTCGAAATATTTTCGTGTGATTCGCGAGGCAGCGACGAGGCGGAGGAAATGCTGGGCGGAGGAGGATCTGGCGCTGGCAGCGGCGTAGGAGGAGTCATGGAGGGATTGCTGGCGCCGGAGCCGAGCCTCAAGGCGAGCAGCCACTTTAAGGTAGGGCCGCGATTGCGCGCCGAGGGCGTCATGGCGCCCCCAGCTTCCGATGCCGCCACGCTCCGGCGGCAAGTTTCGGCGCTCCAGATGGATCTCGAGGCGCACATCGATGGCGAGGCGCGGCTCCAGACCATCAATCAGCAGCTGCGAGAAAGGTGAAACTTGGCCCCATCGCTGACTATTCTCTCACGAAAATGTAAGTAGAATGAGTCTGGATTCTTCCTTAGCTAGCTGACATCCTTTGTGGATCCAAAGGCAGGTTGGAGCTCTACATGAAGCAAAACCACGAGAATGTGGAGCGCGCGGAGAGTGAGCTGAACACACTTCATGAAGATATGGAGCAGACGTTGGAGCTGCAGAGGAGACTGGCTCAGAGGTGGGCTTGTGGTGATTGAAAAGATATGGTGGTCACGAAGCTTTTATCACAGAGCCTCGTTACTGGAGAAGGAGAAAAAGGAGCTCGAGGAAGCTCTTCAAAAACGTTCCCAAGAATTCCAGAGCGAGCGTTCGTCTTTACAAACTCGTATTGATACTCTAGTCGAAGACATTGCTTCGAGGCAGGACTTGCATAACCGGTCTAAAGCTCTTCAGGTGGTTGTTCTTCTATTCGTTTAATACCTACCATTGTCTCGGATTCCAGGCAGAGCTCGAAGAAGCTTCAGTAGCAAAGCAGAAGCTTGAAGAGCAGCTGCGAAACTATTCTAATGATTCCGAATCTGTGAAGCGACAGGCAGAAGAATACAAGAACGAACTTGACAGGTTTATTGCGAAGGTGCTGCAAAAGCATGAAATTGAGGAAGTCCGTGAACTTATTTGTTTGTTTCAGGAACATCGTGACACGTTAGTTGAAAACAAAGGAAAAAAGGTGCAACTTCGGAGGTGGTTTCGATGGTTTCAACAATGTATCAAGGAGAAATCTGCTTTAATGGCCAACGAAGACGCTGCTACAGTCTTTGCCAAGTGTAGCTGCTCCAAAAGAGGAATGCGAGCTCTTCGGCTGGCCACGAGGAGGGCAGCTAAAATACGAAATTCCGAGAAGCGCCGAGGTCAGGTACAAGCTTAGCTTTCTGTAATCTTCTGGTTCTCCTTTGTTAACGGTGTGCTCTTTTAACAGGCATGTTTACAAGACTGTTGGAGAGCATGGCGTCTGTCAACTTTAGCCAAAAGAAAGTATTTTGGGACCCTGGAGCACAAAAACCGTACCTGCAAATGCAGGATGATGTTCAAGTGGAGGAAAGCGGTGCAAATGGGGAAGCTTAGCGACGTGGAAGAGAAGTCTCTTACCAATGCGGCGTGTAGGCATTGGTCTGACACCATCCGCCGCCGGGTTCTCACTTACTGGCTTCAGTGGGTTTTATACTGGGCTCGACCGAAACATTTAAGACTCAAGGGGTTACAGTGTCGCTTACACCGGCTCACATGCAAGCAAGTCATATGTGGATGGCAGTCCTTGGTACGAGCTAGACGGTGCAAAAGACTGAGGTTATCTCAGGGAGATACGCAGCGGCGACGTTGGCTTCAGATACGAGCTCTCAACCGGTAAGTATTGGTTAATTAGCAAGAACATAACTCACACTGATGTGTCAGATGGAAGAGTGCTACTATTTCAAACAAGAGAGGGCGGAAGTTGAATTCGAGGGGCTTGGCATTCTACAAACTTCATCAGTACCAAACGATAATTCATACCTGGAAAGGGTTCATACACTTGAAAAGAAACGAAAAGCTTTCAAAAACAATGGCCTTCAGGCACTACCTTCACGTCTTGAAGTCGAAGGTATGGTCTGAACCATTTCTGAAATTGAGCTGAGAGCGGTTGCTTGCAGGGCGTGTCAACTTGGAGGAAGAACGTCAAGTTTCAACGAGCGGAAGAAAGGGCCATCCATCAAATGAACTATGCTCTATGCAAAGCATCGCTGTCTCTATGGCAAGACTATCATGCTGCGCACGCTATAAAGTAAGGAAGTAAGTTGTAGGCTAAGCTATTTGATGCAACTCATGAAAGAAAAATGTTTTTTTGTCAGGAAGCGTAAGGAGCTAAAAGCGTTGATCAACTGTAGCAGGAGGGACAGAAAGGTTCGTTTTAAAGGTTCAAGCCGATCGCTCAATTTTTCCGATCATTTTTTGTTTTCTTTACAGGTTGCACGGTCTTTGTTCTTGTTCTGGTGGGAGGAAACTGTAGCCAGAAAACTTGCATTGCGACTGGCATATCGACTGGCTGCTCAACGAATGCATGCGAAAATACGGTCCTCTTTAAAGGCGTGGCTGCATGCGGCTTTCGGACATGTTCTAGTGTCAAATCTGAAGCTTCAAAATGATCTTTTAGATTCCAAGGTATGGCATTCTGTATTGCATGGTGGACTTTTGTGTAATGGTGCTCTTACTTTCAGGCACAATTTGAAGACCAGAAAGAACAAACGAATGTGATAGACGTTGAAAATCTTCAGCTCATCGATCGTCTTCACAGTTTATCCTCTGAGATTGCCATGCTGAAGCTGACGATCAATGAAAAAGAGAAGCAAGAAGAAGATTTGCACCGCGCTCTCGAAGATGGCGCATTGATTGAGAGCTCAATGCAGGGAGAACTGGACTTGCAGCGGGCGCACGTCCAAGAGCTTCAACTGGAACTTTTCAAACTTCAGGTTTTCAACATTCCTGCTTTTTCGATCACTTGACACTGACTTGCTCGTCCAGAGAAAGCTGCAAAAGAAAAACATTGAAGACACCGAAGGAGAGGTTCATCACACAATGGCCACGCAGAAGCTCCAACGGGCTCTGAAGGATCTTCAGAGGCAGCTGTCGGACAAAACCTTGCAGCTCAATGCATATGAGAAGGTCTGGCAGCTACTTCTTTTGCATACACAGAAGTTTCAATTTAATTCTACAGGCTCTGAAAGAAACAGCCGAGAAGCTTGAGGGAGCATCCGATGAGTCCCACGAGAAGCTTTCAAGTGCTTTTAAAATCGCTGCCTCCCTGCGAAAGTTGCTCGAGGACAGAGAGACACAATATGCGACACTCGAAGGGACTTGCAGGGTAAGTTGGCCTGCCTGGTGCATTCTAATTTTGCGTGCGAGTACATTTATTTTATCCAGAGGAAAGAACTAGAACTTGGGGAGGTTCAGAAGAAACTTGACGTCGTTCACTCCAAGTTTTGTGAAACTGTCGAGGCTCGTGACTCGCGGATACATGAGCTGGAAAATCTTTTGGCACAGAAACAGGCCGAGGTATAAGCCAACATTGTTTTCTTCCTCCGTTAATACTGTTCTTTAATGTTCTCCAGTCCCAAGAGGCCCAGACCGATCTGCAAGAGATGAAAGTGGCTTTGAGCAATCGAGAGTGCCTAGTGCGAAAGCTAGAGTATGAGATAAAGCTCAAGTCTGGTGAGTACTGCTTGTGCTTTGGGACCATTTCTAATTTGAAAAACTGGTTTTTGTGCATTGCAGACAGGGAGTCTCACATTGCAAGAACTTTTATATCCGGACTCAGTTCGCTCTCGTCGCCCAGGACTCACCATGTAGATATGAGCTTTAGAAGCAGCTTCCAGCACCAAGAACCAACGAAACTTTCGAAGTCTATCGTGCAGCAGCAGCAGCAACGGCAGCGGGGAGGACTGGAAGAAACGATTTACACGGAGCACGCCATCCAAGCAGCGGCCGTCACTCCCTTCGCATTCATCACCAAGATGGACAGCCAGGACGAGACCCCAAGCTCCCGCAGCTCAAAGCAAGCGGACAGAGCCCAGCAAAACACATCCGACGCGTCAAGAGGTGGCGACGAGGTGTTATCATCCGCCAGTAGCAGCTCCAGCGAAGATGGTCTCGGCTCTCACGACAATGGAGACGATGACAGGCCGGAATCCTTCTCAACTCGGGCAGACTGGGACACTTCTTTCGCGCTCGTGTCGACGGCACCCAGGCCGGCCACAGCAGCCGGACAGGAAACTCCGCAATACGTAACGACGGAGTCATCGGACTTGGAGAGGCAGGAGCAAGCGCCGAGAGTAATCGTCGACGAAGATCCTCGAGCAGTGAACGGGCTCCATGCCGAGATCCAAAGGTTGCAAGCTCGGATCATGAACCGCTTGAGAGACACTAGTCCCGGCCAGTCAGAGGTGCGAAAGATGTTCTTCCTCTCGCTCTATACTAACGTTCTTTTGTCATGGCAGCCGGAGCAATCCGCTAGATCACCTCTGAAAAGCACTTCACACAGCAGCGATGCCTGATCCTGCCCGGTTCTTTTATTCGTCTCTGTTGATCAGTTACTGCCTCTTCCTCCTGTAGTCGTCGAAGAAACGAGACATCTGGAACCTCCAGGCAAAGACGAGCACCACCGCGACGACGAGCACGAGAATGAGCCACACCGGATCATCGTACGCGTCCTTTGGAAACTCCACGCGCTCGACGAGAAAGTCACTCCTGGAGGACCCCCGCTTGAGCTCCAGCAGGAAGCTATGCAGCACGTACGCCTTGAGGCCGTCCCGGACCGTCACGGCGGTGGCAAAGCCCGTCTCATTCAATCGCAACTCGTCCGCCACGCTCGCGCTTCGCCAGTGATCACTGCTCCTCAGCAGCCAGGCCTTGGAGCTGGAGACGACGATCAAAGCACCGTCCTGGCGCAGCGCCATGCCATCACCACCCACGAGTGGAGTGGAGATCTTCACCAGGTGGGCTTGATCGCCTCGCAAGTTGGTCTTAAACAGCATGCCTGTTAGGCACCAGGTCAAAATAATAGGATAAAGAAAGGGCCTTGCAATCAAGAGTGCACCCCCTTTTCCAATCGGTTAAGGGTCTTGGGATACTTGGGGTTAAGCGTCCTTGGGTTTGAATAGTACTGGGCTGGTTGACCTCCCGGGAAGTCCAAATTCAGGAGCTTACATTTGAATGTTAGGATCCTATCCCTTACACCCTAAGCCAACTGGCTAAAGGGGTGATCACTTGATTGCAAGGCCCTTTCTTTATCCTATTATTTTGACCTGGTGCCTAAACAATCCTCCCCCTCGTCAGGGAATGATCGTCCACAATCATACTTAGGCCACCATCCGGTCACCATGGTCCTTCTCTTAGGGTCTACCAAACCTTGGTTCTCCCTCTAGATCCATCATGTTGAATATTCCTTTAGAATATTCTGCCCCACTCGTCAGCCACGAGAATCGAACTGGGCTCCGATACCAATGTTAGGATCCTATCCCTTACACCCTAAGCCAACTGGCTAAAGGGGTGATCACTTGATTGCAAGGCCCTTTCTTTATCCTATTATTTTGACCTGGTGCCTAACAATGCCCGTGTTGCTCTGCCCGACCAGGAGATAGTTGTCCCAGTGGTAGACGATCCCATTCAACCCGCAAGGCCGGACGTGCTCGTCCTTTGTCACCACCGGCGGCGACGTAAAAACTGTGCTCTCGGTGAAAACGCTCGCGTTTTTACCGTCGGGAGTTGCCTTCCAGATGAAATTGTGCGCCGAGTTTGTCACGTAGAGATTTCCCTCTCGATCGACTGTGACATCGTTCGCCACTGGTTTCTTCGTCGATCCAGGAGCTCCAATGCTGTCGAGGCGGACGAGGAAATTCCTGGCGCTGGAATCCAAGTCGTAGCTCGCCACGGCATCGAAGGCCGGCGTGGAGTCGTCGAAATTGTGGATCACAGCGAGGACTCTGTTGCGAGAGGGATCCACTCTCACGCCCAGGACTGGGTGTTTCCCGGAGAAATCTTCGTCCTCCACGAAGAGGTCGAGCTTCCCTGTGTCGGAGAGGGACCAAATGGAGCCCCTGCCCATTGATCCTAGCAGAAATCGGCCGTGATTTTCGTCCCAGTCGATCCCTTCCGGGAAGAGATCCCTGCGCTGGAAGGCGATGGCGTCGAGCTTGCTGCTGCCGCTGGCGAGATTGCAAAGCGCGAGTGCTGCAAGGAAGATCATACCTGCCATACCAAGAAATTCGAAGCCCTAGTAAAGCCCTAGAAATAGGACAATATCGCGCTAGGTTTAGGGCTAGGGTTTTATCGTAGATTAAGCTCTAAGTTGCTAAGCCCCAAGCAACGGGCTTGAGGTTTCGCAGGCGAGAGTGGCGAGCTCCCACTTGGTGCTGCTGCGCCGATGTCGCCCGCGGCATACGCGAGCGCCCTTTTGGATCTTTTGGGTGTGAATTCGGCAGCACCAGGCGGTGTGGATTGGAGTGAAAACGTTTCGGAGTTAGCAGCAGACATGGTTGCTGCGATCGAGGAGGGGAGCGCGCTAGCTGCTTGGACAAGCACAGGTTTGCAGGTGAAATGAGCTCCGGACTTCCACCAGCTCTCGCTTGCATGGAAATTCCGAGCGACGAGGAAATGAAGAGGATGGTTTCAGGTTTCCGGTCATCACAGCGCGATCTCGGTGACAGCGGTTGCTTTGATCCGCAGGGAGTATTCCGTGGCCCATATCACCACAATCAGCTAAGCCGATGTGTTCTACTCGTTGGATACGACGCTGCGTCCTGGATCCTCGTGGATCCCTCCGCACAGAACAAAACTTTCAAAATCTCCTTTTCAGATACACGCAAGTCAGGCGTCGGTATTTTCATCATGGTCCCTGTTGGAAAGCTTACACTAGAGAGATGTAACACACTTAGTTGAATTCTCTCCTCGTATCAGACTAGTCGAATCAATATATACGGCATTTAATGTCTAGTTAGAAACGCTTAGGAGTATTTTAGGCAACAGCGAGAAAAGGTCCGGCAACGACGATCGAGGAGCTGTGCTTGAACGGAAGCAGCCGTTGTGCAACATGGTTGAATATATCCTTTTGCAGATCTCCCGGTTGATGACAGCATACGTTTCCAGAGCTTTTGAGTCCTGCGAAGAAGAAAGACGAAAGACTGACCATCCCTAAATTCGCAAGCTCCTTACCTTGCATCGATGACTTTCTTGGCCCCTTGGATCACCGAAGGCAACATTTGATTTGACAGCAGTAAACCGTGTCAACTGACCCTGCCACTGGTGAGTACCATGAATCAATCTTTCACACGATACCTCAAAGTTGAAACGGTTGTTATTGATATTGACAGCGAAGAAATCGTGGACAGTTTTCCAAGCTTCTGCATGTGTGTTAAAAGTTAAGTACTGAAACTCCAGGTCAGAGCCAGTCCATAGGTTGATCGACCAAGCTCATCGATAAGAATTAACAAATATGATTGTCAATACATACGTGGTTTTCACATAACTTTCATATAAAACCTATATGGTTTGAATAAATGAATTCAAAATATAGTTATGAAAACCGAACTGAATCTAGTTATCAATATACATAACATATGGTTCTCTCAAGTATTATTCTGAAAATGGAATATAATCTAGTTTTCAATATTGTGGTGTATTATATGTAATACACAAATGGAATACAATATGGTTTTTAATGTAGATAACATATGATTCTCTCAAGCACAATTTTAAACCTGGAACACAATTTAATTTTCAATAGATAATCTTATGGTATTTGAAACACAATATGGTTTTTAATATAGATAACATATAGTTCTTTTAAGCATTATTCTGAAAGTGGAATAGAATATAGTTTTCAATATAGATATATATCTAATACAAAATCAAAAACATAATATAGTTTTCAGCATAGCTAATGATATGGTTTACACTATCTAATCATGAAAAATTAATATGAAATTGAAACTCAATGGTTTTTTTTCAATATGATTCTCTTGAGCACTATTATAAAATTGATACACAATCTAATTTTCAATATAGATTATGTTATTAATGGTTTATTATATTAGATCATTGTTTTCTTAAGAAACTGAAACATAATGTAGCCTTCAATAGTTGATGACATATCATTCTATGAAGTACTATAAAAGCTAAAACATAATCTTGCTTTTAATATTAATAAACAACACAATCTGGTTTTAATATGGTTCAATTTCATATATTTATATAAAAGCCACTGGCTAGCACTATGGCTCTTCTCTACTCTGCTAAGGCAAAAGTTCTCTCTTTCATTTTCTTTTCTTTTTTTTTTTTTTGTGTGTTTTGTTATAGTTCCTTGTTAAAGACAACACAGCATTTGATGAGAAGTAACATCTTGGAATCAAATAATTGCTGATACTCTTTACAAGTTAAATAAAGTGCAAGACTTTTACTTTATTCAACTGAGTTCCCCTTTTGCATAGCTCACCATGCCACTGCTGCTGGATCGTGCATTGGGAGACTGGTAAGTAGCAACACCAGTAGGGTCAGTGCTCACCACTTTCTTTTCCACCTGAAAGTATCTTTATGTACACCACTTAAATACCCGTTCATTTGCAGCCATATCAATTTTGTCAATAACTTTATTGATATCCTGTAATTAAGAGCAATTAGAAAACTATTGCAGATAATACACACATACCTTCAAATCCATCTTGTATGGGCTAGAAGGTATAACATCACCACTGGTAGCACTAGTTAAGCAACCATTTATGAAGAAAAGATCTATGAAAATACACAAATCCCTATCTATAGAACAATGCATTAGTTTATATGTATATTTCAATGTTTACTTAATGGTTTGTTGTAAGTACTATCACTGGTTAACACAAAAACCAATTTAAACAACCCAATGAACAACTACAAAAAGTGACCCCCAAAGTAGTTATCAAACAACAATAATGAAAATAGCAAGTTCTTATAAAGTATTCTAAGAACTAGTAAACCAGAGTACCTACAACTTACAAAATACTCTGCTACTGAAGAAGAAAATTAAGTACCTAAATTATAAAGCCTTACCTCTTTGGGCACTTATAATTGTAGCCTTTTTAAAAAAGCATTGACAAAGCAAAACCTATTTGGCAGTCGAGCCATATCATGGAATATCCCAGTTTATTCTATAAAATAACTGGTAAAATGTAGATTAAAAATTACTTAAAGATTTTAATTTTTTTTTATAAATCTTAAATAAAATTATAAAACTCAGTTTAATTTTTTTTATATTCTTTTCTTACCACTGTTTTTGGCTTTCTACCAATTTCTAGAGTAATTATAGATTTTGATGAGTTTAATTGTTGCCTTCAAGATTAAGTATGTGCCACCCCATAATAAATACTGCCAAAATTCCAACACATCAATCTTATATTATTTAGCTGTTAAAGTGTAAATTCCTTAATGAATAATTCTCATTAATAAACACAAAAAAGACTTGGCTTTTGCCAGAAGCCATTTATTTTTAAATTCACATTAATCCCTTTTACGGCAAAATGCCCTAAAATGTGGGCACTTAAGCCACTAAATAATTTTTAAATTACAAAACCATTTAATCCCAAATTTTAGGGCTTTAAGTTGAAAACTAAAGATCTCTTACTGATAAATTTACACAGTTTGGTGAATTTGTTAAAGTAAACCTTTAGCTGAAAAGATTATAAAATTTCTATAATCAAGGCAAAGAGTGAGCATTTTTACAATAATTTGCAACTATGCAAAAGCTTTAATTGATTTGATTAGATTTTGATTATTTTTATTAAAATTATTATTATTAGTATTTAAAATATTTTTCATATTTATTTTCTAAGGTATATTATAAAAAGTATATAAGGAATTTTGATGATGTAGGCTGCCTGCCTGACTGCCATGAAAAACCCTTAAGAAAAAATTCCTTATAAACACTTAAGATAAAAGCACCAGAAACGAAAAAAAGGAAAAGCAACTTAAAGTACTTACACTTGCAAGGCCTAAAGAACACCATGGATATAGTCCTTCCAGAAGTTACACTCCACGCATGATGTCACAGGTCTTTGGTGTTCTTAGTCAATAGAGACATTGAAGATCTCCTCCAAGCTCTCGACTGCAGAAAAGTCCTGGAGTTTAGCAGTGAAATCTACATAGAGTAAAGATCACATGAGCTTTCCCTAGCATCCTTCTCACTTTTTAACTGCTCGTCTTCCCCATCGCGCATGAACTCCAACCACTCTAGTAGCCTGGAACTTTTGCTGATGTTGAAGGATTGCTTCTCGCTTCTTTTGAAATGCTTCGATCTTTGGGCGAGCAGCAGCAAGCTCATCTCCCAAAAGTTGTGACAATTGGTTGATATGCTGCTGTAAAATCTCCCTTCACTGTGTAGCAGCTTCATCTTGGTCATATTAAATCACCTCATATGCTCATTGCATTAAGCATTTAGCTCGAGAAAGCTGTAAAGGAAAACAAAAATGTAAATTTTAAATCCAACCAAATTAAATCGTCATAAGCTTCTTTCAATGTCGCGCTAACAGCACAAAGAGCTTGGTACTTTTCTCGCAGCCTGGTCTCCCACCTTTTGATGAACACCGCAACTGTCTTTGCAGCTTCTGACGGCTGAGCAGAATCAACACCAGACTCTAAAGTTGATGGAGATTCATATAAGATCTTCCTTCTCTTCGCAGCACATCCAAGTTTTTACCACTCTTGCCACTACCACCAGTATCGACGGCAAGAGTCTCAGCTGCAGTGTCATCCTCTTCGTCTTCGTCTGATAAGGCAATCTCCTCAACTTTATCTCTAGCGCGCACTGACTTCCAGTTTGGAACACTCGCCGATAGATCTCTTGTCGCCTGAAGCTCTCCAAAAGGCTGCGGGCACGCATTGTTTCTAAACATCAATTCAAGAAGTTTACTGCTATCAGATAATAGGCAACATTTTCCTTTTTTAAAACCCAAGGAAGTACACAAGTTTTTCACTCACGAAGCTTTTCCATTATTCCAGTCCGAAACGAACAAGTAGACTTTCTACAATGGAGGAGGCAAACACTGCCAAAACAATGGTCTATTGCGAGCACCTAATATATGAGCTCTCAGTGGCGATTCTTGCGTTGGCGGCCCCCGACTTGTCCTTGACACCGGAAGCTGCTGCTGCCTGAGCTTTCCCGGAGCGCTTATAGTCCCGGATCTAAAGCGAAAGCGATCCACAAGTTTGCACTGCTAGAATCGCGGATGGGAAGCTCGGCACTTACAAGTTTGGCGTAGTATTTCTGCGCGTGAGTGCGAACTTGAGTGGAGCTTCTCGTCCCGACGAACTTTGCAATGGCAGCAAAATCGGTTCCAAAGCTGCAAGAGAATCTCAGAATTTTCTCAAAGTGAGTATCACTGGTGTGAAGAAAACTAGAAGAAAGTTTATAAACAGCTAAGAGCTTTTGCTTACGTTTTCAAGGCTTTCTTGAATCTCTGGCGCTCCTCGTTAGTCCAATAGCGGCTCTCAGAAACTCTCTGTATGATAGACAGTGAGAAGAAATGAAAGAAGCCACGATAGACGATTACCTGAGAGAATTTCACCTTGTTTTCGCTCTGTAGAGATTCTTGGTGTCCTTGTGCTCTCAACACTAGAAGCTGTTTCATCCAAAGCTATTACCACGAAGAAAGAAAAAAAAAAACAATTCCAAATCCCCGCAATCCTCCACTGTGTTTCCTCTGTGCAAAAAACTTTACTACCCTCAAGCGAAAGAAAGGAAAATGAAAGAACGAAAGAATCGATCGAGAGAGTTCTTGCCTTTTGCTTGGCTTGCTCCAGATCCTTCTCCAGCCGCTCTAATTGCTGCAACCCCGACGCATCCACCGAGCAGCAAATCTCCTGGAGCGGCCGCATTACGTGCGGCGCCGGAACCATCTGCATCGCGCTGCCCGCCATGTCCAGAGGCTCGATCTCGAACTTGGGGCACAGGAATTGCCGGCGCGGAGCCTGCATTGTCGCGATCGATCCTCTCCCCCTTTCTCCTCCGCAAGAACCCTAAAATATCGAGTAACAACTGAATTCCGTCCGTCAAACAAACGGCTCCGTCAGCTCCGTCAGTGGAGTATAAAGCCAGAGCTTAACAGCGCTGTTAAGGGTAAACGGAGCAGGCAAAGCCGTGCTAAGATTAATGGGGGAGAGGTGAGAGCTCGGAGGCGCGGCGCTTAGGTCGAATGGGGATGGATCCACTGTCCACGAATTCCGATGCGCATTTCCTCGCGCCGGCGTCCGAGGACGATGGTGCCGCCGCGGCCGCGTACAGCAATCGCCAGCCTTTTCTCATCGGTAAATCTCGCTTCGATCGATTCTTCATGCATCGCCGCAGCTCGGGGCGACCTCGAGCTCAGATTTCTGTCGGATTTCGAGCTTTGGAGCACTGAAGTTCCCGCATTGTTTGTTGTGCGATCGTTTCTTTGGAATTCCTCGGAGCCTTGATTCTTTTCTTTTGTTGATTTCCTTGTTTCTTCTTGGCAGGTGTTGCTGGCGGTACTGCCTCCGGAAAGACCACGGTTTGTAACATGATCATACAGCAGCTACACGATCATAGGGTGGTGCTCGTGAATCAGGTAATTTCTTTCTTTCTTTTCCTCACTACTCCAGCTTCTTCACAGGATTCGTTTTACCGGGGCCTCACTGCGGAAGAACACGGGCACGTCAGCGAATATAACTTTGATCATCCTGGTGAGTGTGATGTTCCAACCTTCTTTTTAATTCTTTCATTTTTTTAATGGTACTTTTTCTAGACGCGTTTGATACCGAACAGCTTTTGCAATGCGTTGGAAGTCTTCTCAAGTGCCAGCCCGTGCAAATTCCCATTTACGATTTCAAGCTCCATCGGCGGTGCAGTGACACCTTTCGCCAGGTCTGTGCATCTTTTCATCCATGCACAGTCTGAAGAGCCATGGTTTTGCCTAGGTGAATGCAGCAGATGTTATAATCCTGGAAGGAATCCTGGTTTTCCATGACAGTCGCGTTCGTGATCTGATGAACATGAAGATTTTTGTCGACACAGGTTTGCCGCTTCTTTGGCTATCCTGGCATTTTAGAAGTGCTCTCCACACCGCAGATGCTGATGTCAGGCTGGCGAGGAGGATAAGAAGGGACACCTGCGAAAGAGGAAGGGGTGTAGAAAGTGTTCTCCAACAGGTACAGTGTCTGGATCATGAAGATATAGTCTGATTTGCTTTTTCTTCTTGATTTGGTTCCTTCAGTACGCCAAGTTTGTAAAGCCTTCATTTGACGACTTTATCCTGCCCACTAAGAAATATGCGGACGTCATTATACCCCGCGGAGGCGACAATCACGTTGCCATTGATCTGATTGTCCAGCATATCCACACTAAACTTGGGCAGCATGACCTGACGAAGATTTACTCTAACGTCTATGTGATCCAATCTACTTACCAGGTAGTATGATCCTTTACGCTACTGCGGCGTTGAAACTTTTTCCTAGATTCGTGGAATGCACACTTTAATCCGTGACCAGGAAACCACTAAGCATGACTTTGTTTTTTACGCGGACAGGCTGATACGCTTGGTATGTGTCATTGACACGAATGACGCTGATGTTTTCTCCTCCAGGTGGTCGAACATGGTCTGGGTCATCTCCCATTCCAGGAAAAACAAGTGATTACTCCAACAGGTTTTCACGTTTGTCAGCTTCTTTGGCTTTGTTTCTTAATATTGTCTAGCAGGTTCTGTCTACACTGGAGTGGACTTTTGCAAGAAACTGTGTGGTGTATCGATCATTCGGAGGTACTGTTTGCTGCCATTGATGAGATTTCGTGGCTGATGATTTCGTGGCGTTTGTAGCGGGGAACGTATGGAGAACGCTCTGCGTGCCTGTTGCAAGGGAATAAAAATCGGCAAGATTCTTATACACCGGGAGGGCGACAATGGAAAACAAGTAAAAGCTTCATCAGAGCAGCCATTGACA